GATAGGGATTGTGTTGAATCTGAATCAACTTGCAGAATATTACCATCTTAACAATATTAAATCTTCCAATCCATGAACACGAGATAGCTTTTTATTTAGTTAGGTCTTCTTGACTTACTTTCAACAATGTTTTGCAGTGTTCAGTGCACAAATCTTGCACTTCTTTTGTGAAATGTATTCCTGAGGATTTTGTTCTTTCTGATGCCTCTTAAATTGGATTGTTTTCTTAATTTAATTTTCAAAAATACATTTGGCCTTTGCGTATTGATCTTGTATCATGCAAAATTGCTGAATTAATTTATTAGTGTATATGTGTATATATATAAAATCATGTCATATATGAATAGTTTTGATTTTTCTTTCTAATCTGAATGCTTTTTGTCTCCAGTTGTTCAAGCCTTCAGTACAAATGTTGCATAGAGGTGATGTTTGTTCGTGACTGTAGGATGAAAATGTTCAGTCTTTCACGATTAAGTATATTAACTATGGGTGGTCCATAAATTTCTATCAGCTGATTGAGAAAGTTTCTTCTCTGAAAGGGTGTTGGACTTTCCCAAATGTTTTTTCTCTGTCTATTGACATGATTGTGTATTTTTCAAACCTTTATTCCATTAATATGGTGTATTACATTGACTTTCATATGTTGAACGAACCTTGCATTCCTGGGATTAATCCCATCTGATAAAGTGGATTAAATACACACACACACACACACACACACACACACACACACACACATTACTGGATTTGGTCTTCAAGTATTTTGTTGAGAGTTTCTGCATTTCTATTTTTGAAAGTTAATGAAACATTAGTGTTAATTATTTTTAAATGTTTTGTAGACTTCACCAGTGATGCCATCTCATACTGATTTTTTTCCCATGTAAGAAGTTTTTAATTAGTAAACCAATCTCTTTGCTTCTCATAGGCCTATTCAGATTTTCTATTTTTTATCATTCTAGGAATTTATTTCGTCAGGCTATCTAATTTGTTGGCGTACAGTTGTTCATAGTGTTCCCTTTAATCATTTTTTTAAAAAAAATCTGTTATATTGGCAGTGATATTTCCTCTTTTATTCCTGATTTTAATAATTTGAGTCTTCTCTTTTTTCTCTATTTTAACTTTTTACAAAGCTAGTGTATTCCTGTATCAATTATGTAATTAAAAAATAAAACAATGGAAGATACATATAAAATAGAAAGGCATATCAAAATGGGGATCTGGGTAAGTTGGTAACTCCCTGGCAGTCATTTCTCCTCTATGGACCTAGGTTTCTTCATCAGAAAGTTATTATATTGGTTCATTGTTGCTGAAGTGGTTGAAAGTCTCTGTACTTTCAGATTATTTACATGATCAAATGTGGGATTAAAGAACATAGTTGGGAGTATTTGTGGGTAGAAAGTAGACCAATTTTGGAGAATCCCGGTATTCCTGAAGGACATAGTAGAGAAGCTAAGTATCGAAATGCACATTGAAGCTGAGTTATGGTAATATTTGAATTCCAGGGTGAGAGATTTGAACTTGGTAACAGGGAACTACTGAGGATTTTGGAGTGTGAGAGTAGATAATCAAAGTGATATTCAAAGAAATTGGTCTGGTAATGGTATATGGGAGGGATTAGAGCTGGAAGATAACCCAGAGAAGTCATCTAGGGAATGGGGGTCATGACAGTGGGAATGGAAAAAAAAAAAGAGATGAGAACCAGAGGTATTCTCTGATTTGGAAAGCACTCCCTGGAATGGCTAAGGGGGCAGGGGAGGGAGGAGTTAGCTGTCTTGTTCACTCTGTGTCTCTCATAATTAGTGGTGAGGCACAGAATAGGTCCAAAATATATTTATTTGTTAAATTGAATTGCATTAACCCAGCTTTGCTTAGAGTTCAATGAAGGCTGAAGAAAATAGTCTTCAAGTACTCTGAGAGGACTTCCAGGAAAGCCTTCCAAGTTGCTAGCCTCTAGACACTCTTTATTCACACCCCACTCCTGCAAATATAATGTACTCCTTCCCTCTGGAACTGTTCCAGAGAGTCATCTAATTCCAGCCATCCAAAATCCAATATTTTGAATGGGCTTGTCTTAAATTCCTGAGAAGAAAAGAAATGTTTTTCTTTTTAATCTCTTAAAGGCCTGCCTATGGTAACCTTTTTGTTTTGCTGTGTTTTAATTTAAATTTTACTTAGTTAACATACAGTGCAATATTGGTTTCAGAGTAGAATTCAGTTATTCATCACTTACATACAACATCCAGTGCTCATCACACATGCCCTCCTTAATACCCATCACACATCTAGCCCATCTCCCACCCACCTCCCTCCATCAATCCTCAGTTTGTTCTCTATCATGAACAGTTTCTTGTGGTTTGTTTCCTTCTCTCCTCTTTCCCCCAGGCCCCTTCCCATATGTACATCTGTTTTGTTTCTTAAATTCCACATATGAGTAAAATCATATGGTGTTTATCTTTCCCTGACTGACTTATTTCACTTGGCATAATACATTTCTAGCTCCATCCATGTCGTTGCAAATGGCAAGATTTCATTTTTTTGATGGCTAAGTAATATTCTATTGTGTGTGTGTGTGTGTGTGTGTGTGTGTGTGTGTATATATATATATATATATATATATATATATACCATGCCTTCTTTATCCATTCATCAGTTGATGGATATTTGGGCTCTCTCCACAGTTTGGCTATTGTTGATAATGCTGCTATAAACATTGTGGTGCATGTACCCCTTCAAATCTGTATTTTTGCATCCTTTAGGTAAATATCTAATAGTGCAATTTCTGGGTCTTAAGGTAGTTCTATTTTTAGCTTTTTGAGGAACCTCCATACTGTTCTCCAGAGTGGTTACACCAGTTTGCTTTTCCACCAACAATGTAAGAGAGTTCCCCTTTCTATGCATCCTCACCAACACCTGTTGTTTCTTTTGTTGTTAATTTTAGCCATTCTGACAGGTGTGAGGTTGTATCTCATTCTGGGAAAAGGAAAACAAAACTGAAGGTATAATATTTCTAGATTTCAAGCTATATTACAAAGCTGTAGTCATCAAGACAATGTGGTACTGGCACAAAAACAGACATAGACCAATGGAACAGAATAGAAAACCCAGAAATGGACCCACAATTATATCGTCAACTAATCTTTGACAAAGCAGGAAAGAATATCCTATGGTACCATTTTTTATAGCAAAACTTAGCTTGCTTTGTGGGAAGATGGGAAAAGCTAGTGAATTATTATAGGATGAAGCTTTTATTGTTTCAAAGAGATGACATCATGTATATGATGTCCTTACTTCAATGCCTTAGAATCACCTTTTTGAACAGATCTGTTCCTTGACCAATCATCCCTCATCATTTCCTATTGATTGTATGAAAGGGAAGCTATCAGCATATTGAGGACACAAAGTTGACCTTTGGAAGCTGGAAAGATATTTCCAATAGAACATTTGTAGAGGGTGATAAGTTCTGAATAGAGATACATTTTTACACATGCGGCTGTGTATGCAAAGTGCATTAAAAGAAGTCATCCCTATTTTGGCCTGTGGAAAATAGGTAGATTATATGCTTGTGACATATCTAGGCTTTCTGGGTGGTAACCATGCTCCTCATCCTCTGTGAGGCAAAAAGAGAGGGGAGAATACACAGAGTTGAAAAGTAACTACTGTTCCTGTAGCTCCATCCCAAAGCCTCTGTCCTCCTACGGCCACTCACTAATAGGGCCTTTCTGGTGGCAAAAATAATAATGCATCTAAATTTATTGATCTCAGCTTCTTGAGGCAGGAAAGTGGAAAAAGCTGGGGGGTTATGGAGGGCAAAGATAGATTGTTGATTAAAGCTGTTGAGACAACTGACAAGCTCTTTGGTTAATTCCCCTGGCAGATTTTACCACAATTCCTAGGGTCCCACCCTTCCTTTTTTCCTTGATACCCTGACTTTCCTCCTTCCTAGGAATGGGGTAAAATGAGTCATCTTCCTGATTTAAGTTGTCATCTCGGATCCAGAAATATCTCACTCAGCCTCCCGAAAGGAGGTTTTTCTGCATCCCTTTGCCTTCATGTGTTGGAATGGGTAGTTTCAATGTCTACCAACTGTACCTATTTATGATGATTCTGATAATTCTCATCTCACCTTGGCCCAATACCTTCCTTACTCTTTTCCTGTTTTCCTTAGAGTCAGAGGTGTAAAGATGCTAGCACAGTGGTTAAGAGCACAGGCTCTGAAAGTCAGATCACCTGGTTCCTGTCCCAGCTCTTCTGCTTTCCTAACTGTGTCACTTGGGACAAATTACTTAACTTTTTTGAGCCTCTGTCTCCTCTTCTGTGAAATAGAGGTAATAATGGTACATGCCTAGCAGGACTGAGTAATACAATTCATTGAAAACTTAGTATAGTAGTTGCTGTATAGTTAGTGCTCAATCAATAGCTATTGCTATTATGTGTGTGGGGACATTCAGTCATTTCCACTCTAAGAACTTTATATACTCAAGGCATGTTAGATTTTAATTATTATTTGTGCATCTTTTGATGTAAATCAACACTGAAGGTCCTGTTTTCAAAATGCCCACTCCAGTATCCAAATTTGGTCTCCATGATCATAGGTGTTGTGTTTGATCCAGATGTGGTACAGGCCCAACCATGTCTGGCTTAGTCTTTTTATCCAGCTGTGCTGCCTAGATATGCTCAAGCATGAATTAGTTATATTTTCCACAACTCCTTTCTCCTCTGAAACCTTAGATAAGAAGCCTCTCAGAGATGACTTTTCCCTCTTCAAAGTTCTATCCTTCTGCATCCTCCATTTTACAGATAGGTCATCAGAGGCCTAGAGAGGATTAAACTTATGGATAGGGCCTGGAAGTCACCCTAAAGCCAAGCTTGACATTTAGTTTACAGGGGCCTCTTGTCAAATGGTCTCTGAATACTTGAAGAATTTAGTTTATCATTTTTCTACTTGATTGGAAACTTTTCAAAGAAGGAAACTATTATTCTTCTTCTGCCTGCTTCCACAGCTCTGGGTGAACCAGGAGGATGGGGTAGAGGAAGGGCCCAGTGATGTGCAGAATGGGCACCTGGACCCCAACTCAGACTGCCTTTGTCTGGGCCGTCCACTACAGAACCGGGACCAGATGCGAGCCAATGTCATCAATGAGATCATGAGCACCGAACGTCATTACATCAAGCACCTCAAGGACATTTGTGAGGTAGGCCCAGCTATGATAGTTTATGTGGGGGCACCCAGGGTGTAATAGAGGGCATTTTCATGAAGAACCAACAACTCTGCTGAGCTTTACCTGTGACAGTCCCAAGATGTTGGAAAGAGCAGCTGGACTGGCCTTTTATATTCTGTTCAATGGGTAAAACAGGTCCCTTGGAGTTTCTCAGTCCCTATCTCAGTTTCTCTCTTTCTCTGTCTACCTAACATTCATCTTTTATCTTCATATTCCTTATTTCTCTATCTCTCCCTGCCTCCCTCACTTGATCTTCCCTTCCCTGAATCTCTATCCCTATCCTGTTGGCTTCTAATTTGGTTGTTGCCACCCCATGGAAAGGCCTGACTGCATTAATTAAAGCAAAACACGTCTCCCTCCAACTCAGTGGTTTACAAACTTGAATGTGCACTAGAGTCCCTGGAGAAACCTGTTAAATATGCATATTCCAGTCCCCTCCATCTCTTCAAAGTTGTGAATTCTCACTCTGGACAAACCAAAGCATCTCTATATTTAACAAGCATCCCTGGTGAAACTGGTGCTATTGGTCCTCCTCCTTCACTTGAAGAACACTGGTTTTGAGTTATGTCAGAAGAGTTTATGGGGAGGAATCTACAGGAGATAAAGGCTGAGTGGACAATTCTAAGCTCTTTCAATATGCCCCTTTTCCCCCAGGAGCTATGGCTCCACATTCCTTAACTCTATCCCTTCCATCTTTGTGATCTGAGTAAGGATTAGAGCCCTTTTCCTAACACTCCCTTGATGTCATGAGACAAGATGGAATTTTGAAAGGGCATTTTACTAAACACTTTGGGAATACCAATGGGAAATGGAGGAAAGAATGTTTTAAAAAAAGGTTTCTCTCTCTCTCTCTCTCTCTCTCTCTCACACACACACACACACACACACACACACACACACACACAATAGCATTCTGCTTCACCCAGGGAAAACTCTATTTTGAATATGTTTATCCCCTTCCTTCTAGGTAAAGAGTCAGGTCCTACTTTCTGTCCCCAAAGCCCTGTTGAGTGAGCCCAGGGCCCACTTGGAATCAATAGTACAGCTTTTTAAAAAAAAATTAAGTTTATTTAATTTTGAGAGAGAGAGAGAGAGAGAGAGAGAGAGAGAGAGAGAGAGAGAAGGAGTGGGGGAGGGGCAGAGAGATAGGAGATACAGAATCCGAAGCAGACTTCAGGTTCTGAGCTGTCAGCACAAAGCCTGATGCAGGGTTCGAACACATAAACGGTGAGATCATGACCTGAGCCAAAGTTGGCTGCTTAACCAACTGAGCCACCCAGGTACCCCTCAATAGTACAGCTTTAACATTTTTTAATGTTCTTATTTCTTTAGAATACTGTTGCCCAGTAGAACTTCCTATAGTGATGAAATATATCTGCATTCTCCAATGCAGTAGCCACTATCCAGCCATCTGTGGCTATTGAGTAGTTGAGATGTGGCTAGTATGATTGAGAAATGGGATTTTAAATTTTATTAAATTTTAATTTAAATAGACACATGTGACTAAATGACACCTACATTGGACAGTGCAGATCTAGAAAGATCAAAGCCAAGGAATATGGGCCTTAATTTCCTTTACCTCAACTCATTTTTTTATCCCTTCTAGGAATGTTAAAGTTTATCCCCACTCTCCCACTCCATGAGTCAGTATAGTGGAACAAACAAGGGCTCTGGGGACATGGAATGCTGGCTTTCACATCCTGATTTAACCACTTAGACACCCTATAACCATGAAGTTGCCCCTTAACTTCTCTGACTTTTGATTTTTCTGATTTGTCCAGTGGGCTTCATTATGCCAACCTCTTAAGTTTATTGATAAAACTAAGTAAACATAATGTAATTATTTGTAAAAAGGTAGTTTTACTTTCTTTTCCTTCCCTTTTCATCTATTCTCCCATCCATCCGTGTCTCTCTTTTGTAGTTTTCTCTCCCCCTACCTCCATAAAAATAGCTGAAAAAATACCCTCTGAAATGTGCTCTGTGTCGTTGGGCATGAAACCACTGTCATTCATTCAGCAAACGCATTGTAGAGTTCTGCTCCATGCCAGCCTTAGACATGGCTCCTACTTTCAAAGTTTTCTTCCCTAGACTAGTATCTGTATTACCTGGGAGCTTGTTAGAAATGTGGTATTTTTAGCTCCACTCGAGGCCTACCAAGTATGATTCTGCACTTTAACAAGACTCCCATTTGACTTACATTATATATTAAAGTTTGAGGAGCACTGCTATAAAATGATAGCTGTCTTATACTGTCAAAGAGTCTATAATATAAGTACAATGTGTTCTTTACCTGGTAGCTGAGTGATGCTATCAAGATCTAAGTTGGGTCATAACTCTCTTCCTCTCAAAACCATCTGATGGCTGACCACTTCTCCCTGAGTAAAAGCCAATTTCTTATTATTTACAAAGTCCTATGTGATAAACCTATTGTTACCTCTGTGACTTGATCTCCTTTATCTTTCCCACCTTCTGTCACTGCTCCAGGCACACTGGCCTCTTTCTGTTCCTAAAAAACTATCTTGCATGCCCCCCTTGCCAGATTTTGCACTGGCTTTTCCCTCTGCCTGGAGCACTCCTTCCCCAGATATCTTCATAGCTTCCTTCCTCACCTCCTTCAAGTCTTTACTCAAATATCACCTTCTCCTTGAGATCATCCCTGACCTTTCTATTTAAAATTATAACCTTGCACTATCTCTCCCTCTTTCCTGCTTTATTTTCCTCTATTGTACTTATTGCTATCTGATATATTATATATTTGCTTATATGATTTCTTTATTGTTCTTCTCCCCTGCTACAATGTAGATTCCATGAGGGGCAAGTGTTTTTACCTGTTGATTTACTATATATTGCCAATACCTAGCACGGTGTCTGGCACTTGGTACATGCTCAATAAATATTGTTGAAAGTAGGAATTAAATACAAGTGCTCACGTGCATGTATTACTTTGGCAAAATACATTCACATCTTATGCCACTTGATTTTCAGACAGGGCAGAGATTGTTACTGTTATTCCTATTTTCTAGATCAAAAGACTTGAGTCTCTAAGAGACAAAATTACTTTCTCTGAGTTCTCAGGCGCTGGCTCATTGAGAGTCATTTAGTTTTAGAAGGATCTTCTGTTCTCAACTCCAAAACATCTTGGCCTCTTCTTACAGGGCACAAGCTCAGGACAGCAATAGAAGTATTCATCTATCTAGAGGAGGGAGTGCTATGTTCCTGCTTTGAGGACTTGCCCAATCCAGCCAAACCAATTAAAGCTTTATCATTGATAAATATGGAACCAGCATATTACCAACAAAAGCTTTACTTGGTTTGGCTGGATTGGGCCTCTAACTTTGGCTCAGGTCATGACCTCATAATTTGTGGGTTCAAGCCCCACATTGGACTCTGTGCTGACAGCTCAGAGTCCGGAGCCTGCTTCGGATTCTGTATCTCCCTCTCTCTGCCCCTCCCCCACTCCTGTTCTGTGATCTGCTGGTTCCATATTTATCGATTATTCTTGGTGCTGAAGTTAAGGGTTTAAGTGTGAAGTATTTCTTTGTCCCACACTGCAACCACAGTGTTAGAAGGTTTAGCTAGAGCAAAAGAAGGATGGAGAAATCTGTGTCTAGGTGAACCTGAAGACAGTATTTTAGCCCAGGATTGTGTCACCACTAAACCAAAAGCTGTAAGTAACAATATGGTTTATCATAGAGAATACCAGACTCAGAATCAGGATACCCAGGTTCAGGACCCACCTTGATCTCTGACTGGCTGGGGAATCTCAGGTGAATGTTTTCCATCATGGGCCTTGTTCCTCAACTCTAAAATGAGAAGATTGGAAGAGTTGTTCTTTAAGTGCTTAATTTCTGGGTTTCTGTACAATCTTACTTAAGAAAGCTAAAGAAAGCTGTTGTCGTGATCCAGGTTACTTTTATATTGTCTGCTGCTTTCTCCTTGGTACCTGTGAAAACATGTCTTACTCAGGCATTACTGTGTTATCATAATGACTGTGTTCACATGGCGTAATCTACTCTTTCTGTAAATTAAGGGAAATCTCTAAATAATTCCCACTCTTGAGCTTTTGAAGAGGAAATGGGAGACACTACATTCAGTATAAAAAAGGCCACTATCTATTAGAAAATACACACATATATTTGTATATATTTACTGTATATAATGTATAGTAATGTATGTGGCACAGATGATTAAACATATATCATATATTATAATCTTATATAAAATATATATAATACATATAATAATATGTATATTATGTATATTATTATGTATATTTGCTCCTGGGAACAGAAGATGCTTTACAAACATTTAAGTTACAATACCCTTATTTTACAAATAAGAAGGTAGGAAATAAAGTATTTTTTTAAATCAAAGTCATTCAGTGAGGCCAGTGAGATAAAAGATCTTTTTTAATGAGTTCTTTGTAGAAGATGACATTTTTCTTTCTAAATCCAGAAAGTGGGATAAAATAGCTGGGTTCAGTTCTAGGTCACTTTGAACAATGATTGATGATATTGCCTCCCGTAACCTTAGAATTCACAGTATAATAAGGGAAACTGAGACAACAGGGTAAAGAAAGCTAAAGATGCCTTATAAAGTTGCCTTGTGTGCCTCTTTAAAGGAAGATAATCTCAGTTAACTCATATTTGTGAAATAAATTCTGCTCTCAAATGCCTCCAGAGAAACTGGACTAGCTTTCCTCAGTCATTTGCATTAGTGTCTCATATCCTTCACCATTAAGAAATTCTTCCTTAGGTCTAGTTGCATTTATCATGTTATTTCCATTTGATATGCTTAAGCCTGGGATTTCCAAACTTTTTGCCCATTTCACTTTTCCTTTCTGTGAATTGCCTATCCTCATGCTTTCCAGTTGTCTTTACATTTCCATGTATACATAGCAAATGATAACACATTGTAAAATGGTAATATTTGTATAGCATACTAAGGTATAAGGATGAGGCAGCTCAGCAGCTTGAAGTGACCATCTCAGGGCTTTCTAGCTCCCCTACACCTTA